AAGCGTTCTGCTTCCTTTGTCACAGGAAAATTGGTAGCTCTCAATGGGGGACTTTACTTGAAAGTTGTAGATCCATTGTGAGTAATAAGGCAAAGAGACCAAGAGTTTCTTCGGGGTGACCCTTTTTTCTTGAGGCTTGGGAAATTCCCCCTAGAGGTCGTAGTCACAGGGCTGGAATATTGAACCTCCTTTTCCCCTACTAACAAAGGGTGCAAAAACCCTTTTAGTTGAAAAAATGCACTTTTCCTCATTGTAACTGATATTTTTCTTCTTGGGGGGCTCCAAAAAAATTATCAAGGTTTGCATCATGTTCCCCGGGTCTTGCCCCAAAGGTAACATTACTAATAGCTAGGTTCCCCGAGTTGTCTTTCCTAATGAGTAATCCATAATTCTTTGGAAACAGGCTACCCCATTGGTGACTCCAAAGGGACCTGGGAAAAAATGATACAGGCCTCACAGCCCGAAACGCTGTGTATTGTTATCTTTATTTTTATAGGGACTTTATGATAGGGACCGAGATAATTGTGCTAAACACTAGTATGGCAATTTTTTTCACTGTATCTCAAATTTGAGGGAGAGGACCCATAAGAAGTGTAAATTTTGATTTTCAAAGGGAAAAGTACCATCTCCTTTTTTAAAAATCTTTTAAAAAAACAATGTGACGCCAAGGGAATCACTCTTTCTATAAATATCCTTCACACCTCGAGTTTTTTTCTAAAAAACCTCCTCAAAAAAAAGCCTGACTTAGCTATATAAGGAATCCGCGGGGAAAATTTTTAAAAGCTTTGGGGGGGTCAAAACCCCCAAAGTGCTAAGTCCACAACAAAAAAGGAGGCGTTCACCTCCTAGTTTTAAGGTGACACTACCATGCAGCTTCTAAAGTCCTGACCAAGGGTAAATCAAGCACAGTTGTGGCAAATAGCTAAATGTACATCTTTTATAATCCTTTCCATTAATCGAATTTACCTTACAAAACCTAAGGGCGAATAGAGAGAGATGTTGATGCCCTGGAAACGGTACCCGTAGTGATAAAGGGCAAGGAGGCGTTTTTTAAAAAAGTCGGTTTTGAAACTCTCTGAGCGCCCCTATCAATAAACCACTACTTCTGTTCCTTTGATGAAAACTTTCACAACTGCCTTTTACAGTGAATTTGGGGTAGCCGCAGAAATCACTGTGCTAGAGTCGCATGATCACTGAATGTGGGAGGCACTATCTTGTTGTGATTAGCACACATACTTTCGCAAAATGGACCTTTCTTGTGGCATTTATGGACATTGCTTCACGAGAGGACACTTTGGACGTGGAGTCTGAAAAACCACAAAAAAACAAAACCGTACTGCTGCTGCTGTCACTAGGCAGGTTCCAGTAACTTCATTGCAAGAGTCTTTGGTCAGAAATTTCAGCATTACCATCGAGAAAGGTGAGTGGTATGTATACTTCAGAATTCTTCTGGGCGATCTGAGCTCTGCCTGGGCAAAGCGCGGCTAAGTCGAGAGTTTTTATTCTCCAATAAAAGTGCCTTTTTATTGTGATTCAGCCCCTGATAAAGCATCCTGGATGGACTCTTCACAATACTGAGCAGCTGTCACTGCTTGGAAGTTGACAGTCCCTTTCCTTTTAAATTTTCAGTGCTTGAATAAATTTCCCCAAGGGCTATCAATCTGCTGGCGGCGAGTTGCAAGGCGATAGCGTGCAAAGATTTCATTTTTTAGGTTTAATATACTGAGACTTGAGGTTTGATAGCACTTCGTAGGGATTTCATCAGAAATAGCCTCATAATCTTAGGTGACAAAATTGATGAGCAGACTAGTTTTTTCTAGATTTCTTTAGGAAGGCTCCCCAAAAAGTTTTCGAAAGTCCCTTAACCAGTGCTTCCCTTCCTGAGCAGCCCCCGCGTGTAAGCTGGGTACAGTCTAGCCTCTCAGTTTCAGGTAAACGCTCCCCTGTTGGATGTAGTCTAGCGCAGGATCACCACCCGTAGCCCAGGATTCTATGTTTCAATAAATTGTTGTGATAAAACACAGGCCTTTTCTCTAGGGTTTTATTGAAAAATTTTTTTCC